CTACAACTATTACTTGCATTTGTGATATGTTGAAAACACAATCTATTGGAAACAAACTATTAGAATTTCACTATTCCTTTTTCATTATTAGGATGAAAGCATTTCATGCTCGCAAAACCCTAGCTGTAATTGACCACAATTACCATCTTTACCRCACASCATCAGGAAATAAATACAGCCRCAAATACAATCCACGGTCAAAGCACTGGAGGGCATTTGCTCTGAAGTCTGTAAAAGACTATGCATACATCCCGATATTAACAGSAAGGATATTCCAGAAGCGAAAAGAAGATGAGGGATGTATGCAAGATTTCATGGAAATGTCCCTAAGTGATGCTCRCCGCATTGCTASTACAATTGCTCATGTGGCCCCTCCATCAGTCAGGGAATTACGGCAAAGCGAAAAAAGTCGTTTTGACAAAATAAATGAAAAATCAAAAGTTTAATACTTCTCTGACAGTGTTACACCTGGAAAACATTGTTGACAATACGATGAAAACTGCAACTTGTATTTTTTACAACCATATAATGTGATACCTGTGAAATAATGACTAAAAGTAAACCAGAAATCAATGTAAYAAATCAGTTTTCTCTAAATCCCATGTAGATAYCAGTTGGTGAAGGGTATTTGTTTCTAACTTTCCAAACAATACAGGAGGGAACAACCCTTCTGTTTCCCCTTCCCAAGTGTCCATGCTTATCGAGGATAAATTGCCTATATGCAGCTTTTCTGAATTGCCTTGTACTATTGTCAAATGGGTCATTTCTAATATCTGCATGATTCAATACAGCAACAGAAAGCACGTCTGGATCAAGGCAGAGCTTGTAAAACCTCAGTGTTTCAGACACGCAGCTTCWRACACGACAACAAACGTTCTCTATTAATTTTGGCATTTCTCTGCAACGTCCACATCTACACCATTGTGGAACTGTATKCTGCTGTTRAGTGGACTCTGATGGGGTTTGCTCTGAGTTCATGGGGCTTACATTTGGTAAAGGAGTGCTGTCAGTAATATCTGTAGATGCAGATCTTATCTCGGGTTCTGATGATAAATGCATGACATTGACTGGAGTCTGATATGTAAGAGGGGGGTCTTCAGTTATGGTGTCCAGGTTTGTTTCGTGTAATGAATGCAGGCTAGTAGATGGATTTGGGGATGCTGGGGTRGCAAGTGAGGGTTCATCTGCCACTTGTATTGAACGGATTGGACTCCCATAAGCATTAACCATTTGGGGTCTTTCATCGTCATCCTCTACTCCTACTAACTGGCTTTGAATGTAATCCATACTTCCAATCCCTCTTGACAAGACACGTATAGAAAGGGAACGAAGAGTTCTTTCTTCTAAATTGGAGATAAAATTCTGAAAAAAAAACCATATCAGCTTCCAGTTAGAGTACAAACTTATTTGTTATTTTTTTGTTACGATTGCTAAACAACAAGTACATCAAAACCATAACATGAGAAAAAAAATAAAATTGGTGATTTATCCTTTGTTATTATACCAATAATATATATGTAGCTTTGTAATTATTTCTGATCACAATTATAGGTTTTTGATAAACAGTGTATCTATTCTCTGTGTCTCACTATGTCTATGTAGTCAGTACATACGAGTATATAGTTTCGCTATTCTTACATATCATACTGGAAGAAAAGTCGCTCTGACTAGTGTGTCAGTTCAGAAACAAAAAGCTAGATATTTCAATTACCTTTACTGCTTGGTGTTCTCTGTCACACTCCTCAAATTCTGAGATTCTTGTCTGAGAAGCTCCAGGTTGCTGTTGTTGTTGTTGTTGTGTTCGCGCACGTTTCTCTGGTCTAGCTGGTCTGACATAGTCTCCCTGTGATCATAATAATTACAAAACCGTTTTTTAAAGGAAGGAAGRCTTGCAGTTTATTTTTTTACGGCGAAATATAACTGATTTTCAGACAGTACCTTATTTTGACAGGGTTTACTTCGACTTCCACAATGGCAATCTGACGTGCAAAACGTCCCTTTAGTTTTACACGGACACCCTTTTCTCTTGCTTCCATCCTTTCTAGAACACACGCCTTTACAGTCGCATCTTGTCGAATTAGGTTGCTACAGAATGACAAT